ATTAAGTGGCATGGCATGTTTTAGTTGGTCAGTAAGCTTGATTCTTTGAATTTTTTTTAAAGAACAGAATAGATAATCAATTCAGGAAATGTACAAAAGAAGCAAACCCAAAGGAAGAAAAAAAAGGATACATCTGGTCAACATAATCCTGCTATTGAAAGACCTCAGAATATATATATTGACCTATTAGCACTGATGGACTTGATTTCACAAATGATGATATATTGTATTCTTGTGAGTTCCACTTCATTTCCCATTATTATTATAACAATTGCCATTGCCTTTTTCCAAAAACTTTTCTTCTCTTTTGTACTTTTTCTCTTTTTTATTTTCCTCAAGCCCCCTTTTAGAATTAGATTATTAAGAGCACATTTAATTTCGTTATTTTTTTGTGAAGTAGGGAGGTGTGGGAATATGGCACACTTGTGAACCATATTAACACAGGTTAACCTTGGGTGTCCATCGGGAGCTAAGTTAACCTTGGGTGTCCATCGGGAGCTAAACACCTTGCTTTTTTTTTGTTTGTTTATTACATTTATTTTTATATGGGTGCAGGTCACATGCCATCACGTACATGTGGAGGCAAGAGGATAACTTGCAGAAGTTGGTTCTCCTATTCTATTTAGATTATTTGAGCCCTAGATGCTGAACTCAGGAATGTCAGCAAGTACCTTTATTAGCTGAGCTGTCATGCACGATGGCTCAATGCTTATGAGGCAAGATAAGATTTGCTTACAAGATAAGATTGCTTATGAGGCAAGATCTGTCCCTGGAACTTAGGACTTACTGATTAGGATAGGTCAGCTAGTGATACACTCAAGAGACCTACCTGCCTGTCTCCACTTTTCCATGCTGGGATTAAGAACACACATTTCAAAGAACAGCTTTTTTTTTTATCTTCAACTGGTTAATTTCAAATTTATTATGGTTATTATCTTATTTGTTACATGATGCTGGAGCTATAATTAATGAATCTCAGAAAAGACTACTCTAGGACTCTCCTTATTAGCCTATAAATTGGGCATTCTAGACATTATAAAATTCTATGAAAAATATGTACAGTTGACTCTTGAGAGCCTCAATAGTGATGTTTACATTTAATTATTTTTACTTAATTGCAATGTACTTACATCACCCCATCCCCTCCCATTTCCCATTTCCTCCTTATACACTTTCAAATTCATGGCTTCTTATTCTTTCATTATATATTTTTATTGTTTTATTTAATTTTACTTTATGTGTATATATATTTTTGCCTACATATATGTCTGTGCACCACCTGAATGTGTAGTGCCCACAGAGACCAGCAGAGGGTGCTGGAGTTACAGACTATTATGAGCTAAAAGGTGACTATTAGGAATTGAACCTGGGTCCTCTTACCACTCTTAACACTGAACCATCTCTCTAGCCTTATTGCTTACACAGACACAGACAAACACACACGATGATGATGATGATGTTGATGATAATAATAATAAATACTTAAAATGCAACTTGCTGAGTCTGTTTAGTATTGTTTGTATGTAGTTTTCCATTTAAGGCTGAACACTTGGGATTGGCTTTTTACATGGGTACTGTTGATCAAACTTTGATCCTCAGGCTTCCTAACCCATTTATTAATTTTCAATTTCCTAATTTTACAGAATTTTCTTGGTTCTAGGTTTATTGATTCTACACACATGTACACTGCACAAGCATGGACACATATACACACTAACATAAACACACACCAATAAATAGAAGAAATACCTATTCTAACAAACAAAAACATGTCAACAAAGAACTGGTATGAAACATGAGAAAACAAGGCAACTGAGTCCTCTAAAAGTCAATAAATATTCGATAATAAACTCCAGATATACCATAATGGATGAAGTGAGAAAATAATATAAAATATCAAGTAAGAAAAAAAATCAGGGACTGAAGACTAAGTAAGAAAATATTTCACTTGATAGTAGTTTAAAATAAAAATCAATCATGATAACAACTTTCCAAAAGTACTACTTAAATGCCAGGTGTAACAGTCAAAGAAAGGACACTGAACACCAAGAAACAAGCTTCAGATAAAACTTTTTTCATTGTTACTTTACAACTTTAATTTTATTGCTGCAAAGGAATCATGATGTAAATATCAGTGAAAGGGTTGTTAGACTCCAAAGGGATCATGACCCACAGGTGTACAGAGACAAATCCATCAGAGTAAAATGGACTTTTCAGCTGAAACACTTAAAGCCCTGGAAGTACATAACTGGTAAGAAGATCACTATAGGCAGCAAAGTTCTCATTGAAAATCACTGGAAAATAAAGACTTCTGAAGTCACCACAAATGACATCAATTTATCACCTAAGCTCACCCTGCAGAAAGCACTGAAAGAAATCTCAGGAGAGGAAGAATGGCATTTTTAATCCTAAGCACCCCTAGAAAGAATAGTCTCACTGGAAGAATAATCAAATAATTCTTTTTCACAGGTCAAACAAGACATATACTATCAAAGATCAATCTACAAGTCAAAGACATAGAATAGGGGTGGGAACACAGCTCCTTAGTAGAGGGCTTATATGTGTCAAAGCCCTACACTCAACCCTAACAACGCACGCGCACACACACACACACACACACACACACACACACACACACACACTGCTGCGGGAACTCCTTCCGCTCCTTCAGCCAATAGCCTTTAAGATACTAGCCCACTTGGGCATGGTCTCTTTTGCTTTAAAAAGCAGTGGTAGCCCTGCTCTTGCTCTTTTGCTTCCAGTTCCCACTTCTGGCTGCTAGACTCTGTCCCTGGTCACGCCAAAGGCTTTTGTCTAGGTCAGTGACCTGTAAGGTTTTTTCCCCTTAAATAAATAACCCTTTTATCAACCAAACTGGTGTGGGATTGTTTTTGTGACTTACGCCTTCACACACACACACACACACACACACACACACACACACACACACACTATCTATTTAAATTTGGGGATTGCAGATGTAATTCAGTTAGTGGAGAGCTTGCCTAGCATGCACAAAGCCCTTAGTACTGATAACATATAAACTGTATGTAGTGCTGCATGCCTATAAGTCCAGAATTTAAGAGGTAGAAATAGGAGGGTCGTATGTTTAAAGTCATCCTCAGGCTACATAATGAATTCAAGACTGGAAGGGGATCCCAAAGACTATGTCTTGAAAAAAAATGAAAGAAAGAAAGACACACACTGAATGAATTAAAAAAGATGATCTACTTGTTTTACTTTTCACAAAAAATGCATGTTACCAGCAAAAACATACCAGGAATGAAAATGAAAAGATAGAAACCATTTTCTAAGCTAATAGAACCAAAAAGTAGGCTAAAGTAGCATATTCATATCTGACAAAGCAGACATGAGATCAAATGAGTCAGAAAAGATAAAGTCACTACAAAGCTAATAAAAGGAATCCTCACAAAATCCTAACAAATATAAATGTATATGTATCAAATTTTGGTAAACGTATTTTCATAAAACCAACACTTCTAGGTAAAAGGGACGAATAGGTTCAGATACAATAGTATTAACTTTTATACCTCACTCTAATCAACAGACAATCCACACAAAAACAATAAAAGGTAAACTTCAGAGTTAAATTGTATTATAGATCAAATGAACTTAGCAGATATTACAGAATATTCTGTCAAACAGTTATGGAATACAATTCTTTATAGAAGCCCACAGAAATTTACCCATACATAATATATCTCATTTAGTTTACAAGGCAAGTTAGTAAACAAAAAATTCGTAAACAATTCCTTGTATTTTATATCACAGTGGGATCAGGAATTCAAGGTCACCCTTGGCTACAAAACAAATTTGAGGCCCGCCTGAGTTTCTCACCTTGCTTTAAAATTATTTAAAAAAAAAGTTTAACATATTAAACAAGTCTTAGAAAAACAAGTATCATGTTTTCTCTCCTATATGGATTGTTGAAAATAATTTAAATACATGAAAGTGTTACAGAGGTTTCTACAAAAGAAATAGGTGGTCAGGTAAGGGGTAAGAATGGTAACAGAGGAACAGATGTAATTAATTAAAGTGTACTACTTGAATGCATGAACATGAAACAATAAAATAGTATCCTATAATATTAATACATGTGCTTTATTAAAATGTTAAACAGAGGCCTACAAGATGGTTGCCTAGGTAAAGACACTTGCTGCCAAGACTGACAACCTGACTTGGAACTTCATCACCCATCTGTTGGAAGGAGAGAACTGAGCCCCGCAATGGTTCTCTGATCCCCACATCTACAAGATAGCATAAACATGCACACAAAATAAATACACGCAAAAAGAAAAGTTAAACATAAACCTACTGTAAGACTGTCAACCCACTCTAGGTATTTACAAAAAAATAAACAACAATAAAAACTGAAAGCAAACATCACCTAAAAGCTTTATAATGAATCCTCACAGCAGTTATCACTAGAATAGACTATTCTATTCTAGTGTCCATCAATAGGTAACTGGAAGAACAAACTATGAATTTTGCACACAATAATTATATTTCATGGCAATAAAATAGAAAAGACCAGCACATACAATAATATGAAAATCAACTCATGATGAAGAGTGAAAGAGGCCAGAAGAAAGGATAGATTCTATGAGCCAGTCACACAGTTCTAGAAAATTCAAACATCTATGGTGATAGAAAGCAGAGCAGTAACTGCACATTTGCAGAGCTGAAGAAAAAAAAGTTGAATTCTGCAGATGACTTATGAATGTTCACTATAATGATAGCTGGAGAGATATACACATGACAAAACTCATCACATGTATGTTACAGCTGTGCTGTTTATTCTGTCAAGTATACCTCAATAGACCTGTTTATTATAAAGTATGAAACTGTACCTTGCAAATTTTAAATAAACCATAAAATCTGTTATTTTAGAATAAAATGATACTTGGATAAACCCGTGATACTATTATACACTATAAAATACACTTGGTTACATGATTATAGATTTAAATACACCATACCTTAGCTTCTTCCTCTTGAGCTTTCTTCACAATTGCCTGTAGCTGTACCTCTCGTTTAAATTCAGCATGAAGTAATTTCTCTTCCATCATCCTACGCCGTTGATCTAGTAATTCTTCCTTCCACTTTCGGACATCTTTCTCCTATGTATGACAAATTATCACATCATTAATTTCAAAATATACAGTAATTTAGCAGAAGACTAAGGATAAGTGGAAAAATTCATGAGTATGACTAATGATTAAAAACCAACTACGAAACCAGAATACAGCTTCCACAATTCACCAGCCACTTAATAACTGTGCACTCCTGGCAACAATGTAGCTAATGTCTCAGTTTTCTTATCTATAAAAAGGAGAATAGTACTCAGCCCAAACAATACATTTATATCACCTCCTCTAAAGTTCAGGAATATTGCAAAAGATGAACAGTAAGGGCTGGGTGACAGGGAGAAAGGTCTTCTCAATACTATCTTCTGGGCACAACACAGCCACTACAATTATGAACCAACAGCCACTCCAGTTGCTGCATGGGGCCTATACAAAACTAGGTCTCTCAACAGTAGTCATGGATGGGGAGATCAAAGGACCCCATCTCTTCATAGGGAACCATTTGCTACTAATGGTCACCTGGAAGGAGAGTCATGCCATTAGTTGTGTGCCTGTTTACCGAGCCCACCAAGCTTCAGTGGCTAGCTCCACACCCATGGTCACATGGATGGCCCTGGTAAAACATAACAGGTCACAAAACAGAAAGATATAAAGTGAAAAATGGGACTATTGAGATGAGGGTAGACAGAGGCAGGAGGGAGATAGGAGAAGTGAGAATAGTAATCAGAATGGATACATACAGGTATGGACTTATCAAAGACTAAGTATGTTTTTAATAAAATCATACTTCTGACAAAGGGGGTAAGAAAAAAAAAACAGTACCTAACCGGGTTATTTTGAAGATGTAATTAAATGAATTAGCCTCTTAGGACAGTGCATTAGATGTGACTGCATTTGCAGATTATCACTGAACTGAGCCATGAGACACTGAGAATGAACACTTCATATGATATTTAGTATTCATTATCAACTTGACTGAGTCTACAAGCACCTACGAGACAAACCTCTTATGAGGAAGGCTAGGGTAACTCTGACAGAAAACCCCAACACAACTGTGGGCCACAGCAATCCATGAGTTGGGATCCTGAACTGAGAAAAGGGAGAAGATGAATACTGACGTTCATCTCTGCTTCTTGACTCCAGCTGCAGTGTGAGCTGCAATGCCAGTCCCTGCCTCTATTACTCCCATGCCATGGTGGACGGCATCTGCAAACAGTGAACCAAAATGAATCCTCCCATTCCTCAGTTGTTTCTGTCAGAATTCTGTCACAGCAGTGAAAAAAAATAAACTAATATATGGTGCGTTTCTTTTCTTTAAAAATTTTAGTATTTCCATAAAACAATCTATAATCACTAAAGAATACTTTTTTATTCTTAACATTTCAAGTAAGAAACGTAAAAGATATGTTCAGTGCTCTAGGAAATCAGATTCAATAGGAAGGCAGATAGATCTGCATGAGAAGAAAAAAAGCAATGAACACGTCAGTTGGATTTTATCTAAAATCCATAATTACATGGTGAGCCACATAAATGACTATGCAAAAAATATTACTATACTAGGAATCACTCCTTAAAGTCTGAGCTCTGAACACCGTTCCTCATGTGACACTGAAAACACTGTCTTCTCACATACCCGGTTTCCACGTCTGAAGAACACCTGCACTGGGTACCACACAGTTACTGTGGTCAGATGAAACCTTTTACCTAACAATGTTAAAATAATAACCTATTATAAAATTGGAAAATGGGACTTACTAATGAAATTAGAAAAAAAATAGGGAAGATCGAATTAAACCAAAGAATCTCCATAATTATAAATTTTTTAGCAATCTCTTAATTGTTCATATGAATAGTTAGAAATCATAATATAATGCAAAATGCACTGTATAATTTTATTCATATTTAAAAAGAAAACACAGCTATGTTAGAATATTTAATCTAAAAATGACATAATATTAACTTTGGAGAAATGCACAGTATAAACAGCTTTTCATACACAATCTACTCATTCTAAATGACAACTTTTTAAGATTAAAATTTAAAAAAAGGTCACATTGTCTCCTACACCTAGAAACTTAATTACTGTATTTTGAAGGATCTAATCTATCTCATTTTTATAAACATTATTATTGTATTCATCATTCCTTATGAATGTACATAAAACACTTTACCTATACATATTAATTCTCCAACTATTGAAAGGCATCTTTTGTCACATACTTTTGCATGTCATTTTGTTATAAGTGTGAGGGAGTCAGTTTCTATGATGCTCCCAATGGTCAAGGTCAACTGTAATTAAGTTCCTCCCCAAATGTGTCAAGACTGCGATCCAAAGACACAGCAAAGTGATGTGAAGACAGCACTGCCTCCATTCTATTACCTCTCATGCTCTCTCTTGTCTGTCTCTCTTTATGCCTAATTACTTTGTACAGCAACCACCATTTCAGTGTGAAGACACCCAGACTGAAAAGAACACCTGGCAGGGAACTGGGCTTTCTGGATAACAGAACATAAATTCAGGACTTAGGAACAGCATCAGTAAGTTTGGTGGGAGTTCTCCCTTACCCCAGAGGACTGAGAGTCATCACAAAGTCAGAGCAAGGCCCACTAAGCAGTTTATTCCTAGTTTTCCATGAAAAACAATAAAAGTGATCATGTGTTGGAACAAAATCTATTTATCCCATGTTATGTTTTTATACAGCCCATTTAAACATCACAGCAACAACTACATTTGCTATTTTATGGATTATATAGGAAAGATTTTTTTGGGTACATATCCACAGAGTAGATCTATCTGCAGTTGTGTTGAGGAACCACCACACTGACTTCACAGTAGCTGCAGTTTACAGTCCCACCAATAACGCATGCATGTTCCCTGTTCTTCACATTATCAACAGTACTAGTTGTCCTGACTTTTTTATTTAAAAAGTTTAATTTTGATAATTTCATACACAAGAATTTTATTTGTATCTTTTCCAGCCCACCCTCTTTCTTCTCCAACTCCTTCCATGTTCACATTTCCTCTCAAACTCATGACCTCTTGTTCTTTATTACTGTTTTACATTTATACACACACACACACACACACACACACACACACACACACACACACCTTACATACAACTTGATGAACAGGAGGACTTCTGCTGTGAGAAAGTGTCTTGTATTTATGAAAGGGAAGTTGTCCACATTAAATCTCAACAATATGGTCACTAAACAAAATACCACCAGATGGCATGACAACATGAATGGGAGAAATCTTAGAAGGCTGTACCCCAGCTGAGAGAAGAACTGATCTCCAGAGAGGAGGCCCCTAAGAAGTTATCCAAACTCAAACGGTAAGTCTTTTAGTTTTCTTGATCTTATTCACTCTGACTGGGATATAATAAAATCTCAAAAGTAGTTCTAATTTCCAATTTTCCAATTGTATATTATCCTACTGGACAGTCCATTCAAATCTCTAATTGGCAAGGAAGAGTAAACACTTTTAAATATATTTCTTCACAAGAGAAAACACATTTCTGCTGGCCAATAAGCCATGGTTGTGAAACTCTTGGGCCCCAGGGATGAACCTATTGCTATTGTTCTGTTAAATGGAGATACTATCAACTGCCATTTAAATTTAGACTACTCTATCGATAGATTAGTGGCAGCACTCAGACTTCACCAGAGAACTTTATTCAGTGGTTAATGCAGAAAATCACACTGGACAAAGGGCAGAATGTGAGTATCAGTGGAGTGTTCAGTCACATATGGAACACCTGCATCACACACCATCCTCAAGACTTCAGGAGTGGAAAGACTAAGCGCCAGAGGTCGAGGAGGACACGATGGCTCCACTGCACTCACGCATTCACAAACTGTGGATGCTTGCATAAGACCTGCTGCGCAAGATTAACACTCTAGGATGGGGTAAAGAGGGGGTCATGAGTCCCCATTCAACTGAGGAGCTATGAAGAATTGATGGCTTCTAGGGGAGGAAGAATTAGGTTATCTTAAGAGGGAGAAGAGGGTGGTGCTGCTGGTGGTAAAGATGGTAAAGATGATGAGACAACAGGAAGTTGGGCAGTGTAAGAAAGTGGGAATAGCTCTACAAAGAGTTAGGGAGACAAATTTGGGGTAAATATTATCAAACTACATTATATAAAATTCTCAGAGAATTGATATAAGTATTTTTTTAAAAGAGATACACTTTCTGGGCATCCACATGGGGCATATAACCTCTGTAATTTTGGGGAGAGTCATCCTGTCAGGTATGAAGGAATACATCACTGAAGTTTAAGTTGCATTTCCCTGATCATTACAGAAGTAGAACATCTTTCTGAGTACTTTTTAGCCATCAAAATTTTACTTTTTAAGAAGAGTCAATTAGGCCCTTGGCCCAGTATGCACAAGTTATTATTGCTCTAAATACTCAGTTGTGCTGGCTCCCTAGTACTTTACATATTAATACCAAATCTGACCACTCTCACAGTATTTTTGCCATTTGTAAGATGTTATCATTTCATTGATTTTTTTTCCTCTTTGCAGTGCAGAAGAGTTTTAACTAGTATAATACTTTTTATCCAGTTTTGCTTTTGTTGCCTATATCTTGGTGTTATACCAAAAAGAATTATTGCTAAGATAACAAGTGTCTCCCTGTGCAGTCTTCAAATTCTGTAATTTCAGGTCTTCTTTGAAACATTTAATCCATTTTGCATTGATTTTTGTGTATGGTATGAGAACTAAGTATTATTTCATCCTTTTTTGTCTTTAAATATCCAGTTTCCCCAGCACCATTTACTGAAAACACTAGGCTTTCTCCATCGTACATTTTTGGTGTTCTTATCAAAGAATCAGACTGGGCTGGAGAGATAGCTCAGTGGTTAAGAGCACTTGCTGCTCTTCCAGAGGACTAGGGTTCGATCCTAGAACCCACAAGGTGGTTAACAACCATCTGTAACTCCAGTCACAAGAAATATTTTTCTTTCTCTGGTCTCTGAGGGCAATAGGCATGAACATACTGCAAAAACGTTCATGCAAGCAAAACAGCA